CTCCTAACAACATACACCCTCTATCTTCACTCTCTACCTTCACTCTCTATCTTCATCTTCTACCTTCACCTTTTACCCTCATGTGTTGTCTCTGAGTCACTCTTATATATATATTCAAACTAGTTTTTACACATGTTTAGTATACTAATCAGATTAATCAGACTATGTAAATTACTAGGTCTACTTAAAAAAGTAAATATCCTTATAGTAAATTCTCATTTTGAATAATCAACAATATCAGCTATTTTAGAAAATTATGTATCGATCTTTTAGAGGGGTAAGCTAAAATGTCCACTTTTTGACAAAATTTACTCAAAAAAAGTAATAGGCTATTGAAAATATGTGAGATTTTTCTTTAAGTTTTACAGTTATATAGTTGAGTTTTCAAGGTTATACTATTTTAGCAAGAGTCTAACCACTATTTGCTTCTAGAATAAACCTTCTAGTTTGAATACTGAATATCCTGAAGAGTTTATTGATAACAAAATTTGATCACAAGAAAAACCACTCAAGTTATATATCTTTTAAGCTTCATTGATAGCAACCTTCAAAGGTAAGTTCAGTTTTCAGAATAATATCTTAAGAAGTCTATTGAAGAAAAAACTTGATCCCAAGAAAAACCACCCAAGTTATACTCACTTCTTGGTATTTTACATCTTTAGGCTTTGTTGACAACTGCTTACTCAGAGACAGAACTAAAAATAGTATATATCTTGAACCTTCTTATAGCATTTTTCTGTAGTTTGAAATTTTGGTAAGTTGTTCAAAAGATTGTTGAAAAAAGTTGTGTTGAAAAAAAAAGCATAAAATCATATACATTATAAAAATTAAATATATATTATTAGATATTAGCTTATGCGAAGATATATTCTTCTTGTTTTTATTATTAAATACTAGGCCTTTTTCTACAAATTCCTGTAGTATTATGCAAATAGAATATATGAATAAGATCTAAAGAAAGTTTATAGCTAATTTTTCTGTCTAAATCAGTAGACTTTAACCTCATAGTATATATAGTATTTTTTTGTAAAACAGACCAAATACCTTGAACAACTTGCTAGAAAAACTCATGACAAATAATTCAAATAGTTTTTTTATCAATACAAAAATAATAACTAGAAACAAGTTTTTAATTTATTATTTGTAGAACAGACCAACTACACTTAAGCAAACTTTCTGAAGCAAACTTATGAAAAGTAATCTAGGCAATTCTCTTATCAAAACAATATAATTTGTAGAACAGACCAATTGCTTTGAACAACTTGCTGAAAAAATTTATGACAAACTCATAACAAGTAATTCAGATAGTTCTTTTATCAATACAAAAATAATAACTTGAATAAATTTCTAATTTATCATTTGTAAAATAGATCAACTACTCTTGAGCAAACTTTCTGAAACAAACTTGTAAAAAGTAACTTAGGCAATCCTCTTATTAACACAATATAATTTGTGAAACAAACCAATTGCTCTGAACAACTTGCTAAAGAAACTTATGACAAACTCATAACAAGTAATTCAGATAGTTCTCTTATTAATACAAAAATAATAATTCAAAAAATATTTCTAATTTATTATTTGTAGAACAGACCAACTACTCTTAAGCAAACTTTCTAAAACCAACTTGTGAAAAGTAACCAAACAATCCTCTTATTAACACAATATAATAACAGAATACTATACTATATCCAACTCAGAATAAGAAATAATTATATCCTTAAGAGTGCTAATATTTATTAGATAATATTTTAGAGAGTGAGGGTAAGTCAAATCTTACTTCAATATAATACTAAAATTTAATTGGTTAATAAAATATTACCTAGAGGAGAAAATAGAGCTTTATAGTAAATGAATATTAGGTAATAAATGTCAGAGCCCTAATGGCTTCTGCTTTTTATTTATACGTGCTCAAGTCTTGAATATTGTTAATTATTTTTGGTATATCAATATTATCAATAGCTTGTTTCACACTATTTTGAATATCATTAGTTCTTTTTTGTATGTCAATATTATCAACAACTTGTCTTATACTATCCTGAATGGTATCAATTTCTTTTGATATATAGACCTTAGCAATAACTTGTCTCACACTATTTTGAACATTATCAATTCATCATGATGTCTTTATTGTAGTAAGTATTTCTGATATAGTGAGTTCTTTTTGCTTGTTGATGAAAGGAATAATTATCAAGTTTATAACGGTTAAAGCATAAAAAAAAGTTCTTAATATATTGTTAAAAATTTTTGCAATGTGACATGTCTACGACAGAGATCAAAAAAAACAAATTTCTGAGTTTTTTAATAGAATTTAATTTGATTATCATATAC